GTCGTCCCGGTCGAACACCTCGCCGAGGTCGTAATTGGACTGCTCCAGCTCGGCGCTGAAGGCCTCGAGCTCCTGGCGCACGATGTCCTGGACGTCTGCCTCCGTATCATTGTCATCGCCGTCCTCCGAGTCCTCGTGCTCGTCTTCTGGCTCGTCAGCGATGTTGGCTGAACGGGCTCGACTTGGCTGTGAGCGCTGCCAACTGCTATTTGATCGCTGCGGCCACGATCGTGACGGCAAGCTTGCGTGTCGTTCCGATGTATGGAAATCGGGGAACATGCGCACCAGCAGGCCCCTGATGCGCTGAAATGAGTAGTGCTCGTCCGGCAAGTTGCCCACGACGCGCTCGCGGCGCTCGGCCGTGAGCTCAGCCTTGCGTAGCAGGAACCAGCCGGCCACGTCATCAAGCGTAGTGAGGTCAACCTCGTTCTCGCGTAGTTGCTGTAGTCCCGCTTCGAATCGCACGAGCCAATCCGTCATGCGGTGCTGAGTCGACTCGAAGAACTTTTCTAGCGTCTCTCCCTTCTGCACCGGCTTCTGCTGGCCTAGGTTTGTCTCGAGATGCTTCAGGACGTTCTCGATGCCCTTCTGGTTGCGATCGCGCTTCTTCTCGTTCACATCCTCGATGCCGTCGTCCGGCGGCGGGTGAAGTTCCTGCTCCGTCATATTGAGAGCAGCCGACCTGGCGGTACCCGTCAACCGCAGGACTAACTTCGATGCCAAACTTTGCGTCACTTCTAAGTTCTCACTGAGCTTCCATAATTTTACCTCCTGTTTGTAATCTCGCCATTTCGCTGGATCTCCATTCCAGCTTGGTATCACTGACTGGTTGTGCGTGAACTCCGTCATCCTGTCTATGAATGGACTGCAAGAAATACCAGACCACGAAATAAAGTCGAAGTTGAACTCGATGCCGTAATCGATGTCGGCGCCTGCCGTGTCGATAAGCTGGTGGGAAAACTCGATGCCGTAATCGATGTCGGCGCCTGCCGTGTCGATAAGCTGGTGGGAAATGACACCGTCGTAGGAGAAGTATGTGGCGTCGCTGACACCGTCGTAGGATAAGTATGTGGCGTCGCTGACACCTTTGTAGGAGAGGTATGTGGCGTCGCTGACACCTTCGTAGGAGAAGTATGTGGCGTCGCTGACACCTTCGTAGGAGAAGTATGTGGCGTCGCTGACACCGTCGTAGAGGAAGTATGTGGCGTCGCTGACACCGTCGTAGAGGAAGTATGCCGCGTCGCTGACACAGGCGTAGGAGAAGTAGCTGTCGTCGCTGCTGAGGGTGGGGAAGAAGATGGAGTTGCTGGCGTCGCTGGCGCTGGCGTTGGAACTGGAAGGGATGTAGGCGTAGTAGGCGTAGTCGCTGGCGTCGCTGATGCTGGCGTTGGTGCTGGCGTCGCTGACGCTGGCGTAGATGCTGGCGCTGAGCAACAGCGCGAGGAGGCCGCTGGGCCTCGATTCCAATATGGAATGCGACGTCGCAGACGTCGTCTTGAATATACGGCCCCGCGGGCCGGGATAGCGAGCCTCGCTCCAAGCTACCACTGTGATATGGATATCGCTGATATCGTTTGTCGAATGATCGCGCGGCGAGCACTCTGCGTAGCTCTAAGGCCAAGGGCCCTAGTTTGAAACAAAATGGCGGCGACAAGGCGGGCGTGAGAGATAGAGCGGGGAAGCTGGGAAGGAGCAGGAAAGGCACGGGGAGTGAGCGGGAATCACACAGGGCAATGATCCCGACAGGGTACGCGATGCACTGTAGAGCACGGCATGGCATGGCGTAGAAGAGCACCGCAAAACATAGTATGACACAGCATGGCGTGGCGTGGCGTAGTGAAGAATTGCATCACAAAGATTTGCAACGCAAAGCATGGCATCGCACAGCGGCCCCGAACAGGTAACATTGCATAACCTGGCGTTGGAGATCAAAGCGTAGCATGGCATAGCATGACGTGGCATTTAAGCAATGGATATGACAGCTGCAGCTGAAGGCATGGCATCGCGCAGCGCAGCGCAACCTAGCATTGCATTGCATGCCGTGGCATGGCACGGGAAATGACGCCAGCGCTGCAGCGGGAACACGATTCGGAACGAGCAGAAGCGCGGAAATGAGGCCAGCGCTGCAGCGGGAGCACGATTCGGAACGAGCGGAAGCACGGAAATGAGGCCAGCGCTGCAGCGGGAGCACGATTCGGAACGAGCGGAAACCCGAAAATGAAGCCCGCGCCTCAGCGAGAGCATCATTTTGAAAAAACCAAGCGAAAACCCAACTCCGGGAAATCTTGCGTTTAACAAGCAATACGTGGAGGGGTGCCCGCTACCTTCCGCACGCCATCAGGGGATGGAGGAGAGTATAATTGTTGAGGAGGGGGAGGAGAAAGGAGTAAGGGACGCGGGGCGCTGTTTCTTCAAAGCGAGGACCCAACACCACAGGATGGTTGGGAATAATTCCCGCACGTCCTTATTTAATCGCTTCGCTCATTCCGCCGGCCCGTATTGTGCCATCGCAGGCGTTTGCTTGCGCGTTCGTGGCCTCTTGGAGCCTCGGTGGGGCCGTTTGGGGCCTCTTGGCGCCTCTTTTTAGGCCTCTTGGAGAACTCGGGAGGCCTCCAGGGGGCCTCCTGAGCTCTCGTGACGGTCTCTTGGGGGGCTTTCGGCGGGCTCTTGGCGGTATTTGTTGGTCCTCTTGGGGCCTGGGGCCTGACGTTGTTGGTCCTCTTGGGGCCTCACGGGAGCTTATTGGGGCGTCTTGGGGGTGTCTTGGAGAGTCTCTTGGGGCCTCTTTCGGGGTCCTGGGCGCCTTCTGGGGCGGAGGGCTCGATTTTTCAGTTCTCGGTTCCCTTCTTGAGCCCCTCTTGGGCCCGTCTTGGGGCCTCTTGGTCCGCCTTGGGCAGCACTTGGGCCGTCTGGGGGGCGCTCTTGGGCCGCTCCGGGGCCGTCTTGGGAGCCTCGTGGGCCGTCTTGGAGCAGTCTTGAAGGCCTCTTGGGCCCTCTTGGAGCGTCCGGAAGCGAAAAGGCCAGAACGCAAAAAAACATCGAAAAAACAAATGAAAATCAACGATTTTGGCAACTTGGGGCCCTCTTCGGAGGCCTCTTGGAAGGCCCTTGGAGCGTCTTGGAGGCCTCTTGGGCTGTCTTGGGGCCATCTGGGGCGTCTTCGGGCGATCTTTGGCCGTCTCGGGCCTCTCTTGGACCGTCTAGAAAGCTTCTCGGGGCCCTCTTGGACCGATCTGGAGCCCTCTTGGACTCCGAAACAGAACTCCGGCATCTCTGACCCGACCTTGCCGGGACCTTGCCGGGGACTTGCCGGGACCTTGCCGGGGTACTTTTCGTCCGGGGACCCCCAGGGGCCGCCCCGCGCGCGCGACCTTATTTGATTCAAATTGTTACCCCCTCCATGCACCCCAGCGCCTTGTGCTGGCGTGCCTCACACAACGTTTTTTTCCGTTCCCGGTTCCTCTTCCTCCTCCTTCTCCTCCTCTTTTTCTAATTTCTTGTTTCCCTCATCATCCTACTCCTCCATCCCGTCTCTGCCTTCTTGTTTCGGAATATTTCGCGTCCTCGCTCGCCCCGGCTCTTTCCGCAGTGTTCTTCTAAACCTTCGCTCCCACGTGACATCGACTACGCAGGGGCAGCGGCTACAGAGGATCGTGAAAAGGCCTCTGGAGAACAAACGCACCATAATATCCAGATAATGGTGGGGGCAGCGATGAACGGCAGAGGGGGATGGAACACATCGAAGAGCACAACGCGTGCCGATGCAGCAGGACCCGCCTATACTTCGTCTAGAGCTCGAGCTCGGGCAATGGTTCTAGTTGGTATAGCATTAAATATTGAATGTGAACTAGCAGGGCTTCAACGAAGAAACATACGTTGCACCTCAGGCATGCCTAGCGTTCTGGTGCGCATGGCAAGCCCAGTGGTCGCTCTAGGGCTCGGGACCTGGGTCGTGGCGCGATCGGATTGGGGGCAGTCATGAGCCGTCTTGGCCGCGCGGCCCGATCCGTTCAGCGATGCGAAATCAGACCGAGAGATTCGTCAGCGGGTGATGTACGAAAGAGGGCCCATCGCCCGAGCGGCCCGCGCAAGGTCGCGATTAATCAGCCCTTGTGCCGCGTGCCACGAGGCATGCGTAAGCCAACCCGCATGGTCGCCGCATCGTCGTGCGAAGATCGCCGTTCTGTTGTGCCGCGCGAGACACGGGGGTCACACCACGAAGGGGGTCATGCCTGGCCCTTGTCCCCACTTGCGTTTGTGTCGCCGTTCCTTGTCGTTCAAGCTGGTGGCGTTGGTTTGACAATGAGGCGCTATCCAGGTTTCGTTCCCTCTGGGCCACCTCTCCCCCTCCCGACCTCTCTCTCGCATCGGCCCCCCTGCCCCCTCCTTTTCTTGGCTCTTTTCCTATCTCTGTCTCTCTTCGGGCGGGGCTAGGACGAGGATGCATCCGCACCACGGCATTGCGAGACGCTCTCGGAGCGTTCTCGGACGGTCCGAGCAGACCGTGGCGCCCGAGTCTTCCTCGAGAGCCGCCGGATCTCAGAGAACCCCTGGTTCCTCGACACACGGCGTCGTGGCTTTCTTCGTGGCGTGACCCCCAGCAGCCTGGACCCCATCCTGGGGACCGGCTCTTTTCGTCCCGAGTCGTGTTGTTTGACGCTCCCGAGGCCTGGGAAGGGCCAGCGTACAGCCCGAAGATGGCGAAAAACCTCCCGCCACGATTTTTTCCACAACGCGAGGAGGTCTGGGTTCACCCCCGCTGATTATAATCATATAGTGGCCTCCTCCCTCCTCGATTCTTCCGGTCCCCTTTCTTCTCCCTAGCTCTCGTGATCCTGTGTCTCCCGCTGAGCGTTACTGGGGGGGGGGGTCCGGGGAGGGTTCGCTTCCGAGGGGAGGGTCCTGGGCTTCATCCTCACCTGATTTCACGTTCGCCCCGGCTCCGTCTTGCGATTCCCAGGTCGCCGTCCCCTGTCTGGCGGCCGGCCGCCCGCGCGCAGGAGGGCGACGCCACCTGGCACCACGGCTGGACCCTGCACGGCGCGCCGCCGCTGGAGGCCGGAGGCCAGACCGGCTTTCTCGTCGGCGCCCCGCGCGGTCTCCGGGCGGCCCGGCGGCGACGCGGAGGAGCAGACCCCTCTTCTCCTCCTCCTCCTCCTCCTCCTCCTCCTCCTCCTCCTCCTCCTCCTCCTCGGTGCCTGCGTGGTGTTGTTCCCCCGTCTGGACTGCGTGGTCCGATTGGGCCTTTGGATAAGCTACACGTTCCTCAACGTTTCTCCTCGTCCTCCTCCTCCTCCTCCTCCTCCTCCTCCTCCTCCTCCTCCTCCTCCTCTCTTCTCCTCCCCCTCGCCCTCCTCCTCCTCCTCCTCCTCCTCCTCCTCCTCCTCCTCCTCCTCCTCCTCCTCCTCCTCCTCCTCCTCCTCCTCGGCAGAAAGCGATCGCGCGGGAGCCGCCGTCTTTTTGTTCCACGGCGCGAGGGGCTGGGGAGGATGGCGAGAACGACGAGGACTCCCAGGATGACATCCAGATTGTGCTTCGTTCCCATAAATCCACGCCCTTTGAAGAAAGTCGTGGCGGGAGGTTTTTCGCTACTTTCGGGCTCCGGGGGCGTCAGAACTCGGGACTCTTTTCGGGCTCCGGGGGGCCCTTCCCTGGCCTCGGGAGCGCTGACAAGCGACTCATGGACGGAAAACACCGGTCCCCGGGAAGGGGTCCAGGCCCTTGGGGGTCACGCTACGAAAAAATCACAGCGTCGGGGGGCTGGGCTCGAGGCGCGGCCCGGTGGGGCGGCCCCGACAGCTTCCCAGGGGTCCTCGGGCCTCGGATCCTCTTTTAACGTCCCCCGAGGCCCAACATCGGGCCCCAGAGGCCGAGCTGCGGGGAAAGAGCCGGGGATTGAAAGAGCCGCGTCGTCGGAGCTCTCGGGATGAGGACGAGCGCGGGTGACGCCGATCGTTGAAAGCATGCATTTCTGGAGATCCAGATCCCAATCTTCTGCAAGCGCCTCCCTGCTTCAGTGCTCCGCATGCTTTTGTTGCGTTTGCTGTTCTTCGGGCGGGAGCGGCTCCAATGCCGTTCATCCGCATGTCTACTTCGTGCTTCCACCCTGCTTCTTCCGATTGGGCGGGTAATTATCCATGCCCATTGCGTCTTGGACTTTCAGGGAAGGGGCGCCAACGGGCCGAGGCGCAGTGGATGTGGGAAGAGTTCTGGCCCCCAGGGGCCCGACTCTTCGTCCATGTCCACTGCGCCTCTGGTGTCTGGGGAAGGGGAGCCCGACTTCTCCCGCAGCTCGGGGGGGCGAGAACGAAAGTTGGTCGGAGGAGGGCGAGCTGAGACAACGGCAGTTGGCCTTCTCGGGGTCCCCTCGTCGCCACAGCTGGACGCAGCTCAGGTCAGTTGTGTGTTCTGGACCCCGGGAGGGGTCGGGGAACAGAGTCTGAGCTGCCGTTGTCTCAGCGCGCCCTGCTCCGAGGTCGTGCGACAGTCCCGTTGGATGTTTTTTTTTGGGGGGGGGGACCTTCTTGGGGACCACTCGTCGGATCTGCTCGACTCCAGTTCGACTCCTGGTGCGGCTCTGGATTGACTCAGATGCGACCCTCGTTGACGGACGTTCGACGCAGCGTCGACTCATGAGTGGAGCGAGCAGCCCCAGGAAGGTGACCAAAGCGAGCATCTGAATCCCGACGCCGAGACGCTTCCTGGAGATCCGCTTGCCTCAGGAAGTGTTCCAGCAGCTGCGCCTCACCGGGGGCTCTCGAACGGCCGCCGGAGACCCGAGCTACGACGCGAAAACCAGACCTCGCCTCGTCGAAAAAAGCGCGGCGGGAGATGTTTGAACATTTTCTGCCTCTGGGAGGCCCTTGCCGGGCCCTTGGGCCGTCAAACAACCACTCGATCTATGAGGAACCGGTCCCCAGGAAGGGATTGGGACTTCTGGGGGTCCCCTGGAGTCCGCGGTTTTTCGGCTCGATCGCCGTCGCCACGCTTGCGATTGCAACTTCCGCAGACGCGGCCCGTTTGCGTCTGAACGATCGTTGCTGCAACATCGCAGAGGAGGAACAGCTTGTTTTGCCTTGGGCCCTACCTCGGCTGATCTTCACCTTTGCCACTTCTGCCAGACAGACCCACGTTTGCAAGCTCCATTTTGCATCGCAGATCAGGAGAAACTAGTTTTACCTTGCGCCACACCTCGACTAATCTCCCCCTTGGCCACCGTGGCCCGACAGACTCATGTTTGCAAGCTTGCTTTTGGCATGTCAGTGTTCACTGCACCGAGTCCCGCTTCGGGAGGCTCCGCACCACGACGACGCGGCGAAAACCTCAGCGAAGGCGTTCAAGGTGGAACGCCGCAAGTGGACCAGAATCAGCGACATCAAACAGTCTGCGCTTCAAAGCAAACACGACCATTCAACGCCCGACGTCCCGCCCAGAAACGGACTCGCCTTCGGGCCGTGCCGCCCTCGGCGGAAGCCAGCGGAAGGGCAGCAGGAGCCGGCGGAAGGAAAAAGCGGCGGAGGGTCCGCCCGCGAAGGGTCTGCGAAAGGCAGCGGAAGGAACAGCGAGACGACAGCCCGTTCGGATGCAGGGCCCCCAGAGCAGGCGGAGGAGGCGGAGGAGGAGGAGGAGGAGGAGGAGGAGGAGGAGGGGGAGGAGGAGGAGGAGGAGTATTTTAGTACTCCGCGGCCCGCAGCCTCCCTCCGCCGCAGCACCGAAGCCCTGAGGAGGAGCAAGACGAGGGGAAGGAAAGGAGGGGAGGACGGGCGGCCGCACTCATGCGGCAGCCACCTGGGGTCTCAAGAGGAGCCACCCCCAGGAATAAACGCGCCTCGACGATGCAGACGAGCATGTCGAAGCAGTCCTCGAAAGAAAAGGCGCCCGCAGGCGCACTCCCCTGGGGTCTCGAGAGGAGCCACCCCCAGGAATAACAGCGCCTCGAAGACGTCGAGCGAAGCCAGAGGCGACATCAAACGCCATGACGAGGCAGCTGTAGGACTTATACCATGATACACATAGACGCCCAGGAGACCAGAAGGCCTCGAAAAGAAATGAAATGTCAGCACGACGAAGTTAGGTGCCGATCTGCTCGGGCTGCTTGCTGCAAAACGCCACACGCCCCTTCGGGAGAATGCCGCGGGCCAGCTTGCCCAAGTTCTGATGTCCGTAGTGGCCCAGCTGACCAGAACACTCAGTCGCCAAGCCGCGAAGGAAATGCTTGCCAACACACCCACAGCGCAAACAGGCATGGATCTGCAGGTCCTTGAAATAACCCAAGAGGTGGGACTCATGAATCGGAACTCCCTGAACGTGAACTCCTACATCACCCACTCTCTGAATGTGGCCCTTGAGAACTCCTCCCAAGCAGGGCGTCTCCAAGAACCTTTCAAGCTTGCGACCACTCGCGCTGCAACCACAAGCCGAACAATGAAAGGATGTGCCCATGCCTGTGAAGACCTGGTGCTCGGACAACTTGACACGACGACTGAACTTTTTCGCCATGGACCTCGTCGGACGGAAACGTTTGGGCTCTGCCTCCGCCGCCGCCAGAAAAGCCTTGGCCAAGTGTTTGCGGACAGCACGACCGATTGCTTCCGCATGCTCCAAGGACTCTGCTACCGAGCTAGGAACAGACACCACCTTTGCCCAATACCCAGCCGCTTCATCAGCTAAGGCGTTAGCTAGGTAGTGTTCGATCTGCGTCCCAGCTTGGATGGCCAACTCGACAGACATGTGGCTCTCGATCTTGACGACGCTGAGCAAGGACGGGTACTGTGCCATCACGTCCTTGACCTGCAGCCAAAGGTCCAAGTTCGTAGTCGGAAGTCGCCCTTGCGAAAGTTTGCGGAGCCCCTTGACCACGTACCCCGAGTCCGTGACGAAGGTGATGGGGACCCCTAAGTTGAGCAGATCTTCAGCGGCCCTAAGCAAGGCCGTCGTCTCACCACGGTTGATGGTCTGCTTCTTGGGGATGCCGCCGCCTCGGGAGAACAACAGCTGGACGTCTAGGTCGGTGTCGGTGGTCACCTTGATAACTTGATATGACCAGCCAATCCGCCGCAACCTAGCATCTGCTGAATGAAGCCCCCCTGACGCATCACCACCAACCAAGAGATGATCGTGCTTCTTGAGATCTTCCTTATGGCCGATGACATCATCATACGGGTTGTCTGTCGGCTCGTCCACCTTGGTCCAACGAGCAGGCAATATGCCCCTCAACCAAAGGCAGGGAAGGGTTTCATAATCTTGGTGAGCCCTGTTACGCAAGTTCGCAGAGACCGACGAGAACAACTCGTTGCAAGAACATGACCAACTACGGTGCAAATCGGTCTCGTCCAATCCACACTTGCAACGCTGACAGTCGGTGGTGTCCAAATTGCTGCTGCTCAGGGTCGAGATCCTGCTGCGTGTCCACGAAGCTCCCGTCATGACAGTCTCGATAGCGCCTGCCATCTCGTGCTCGCCCTTCTTCTTCAAAGCTGTGAGGTGACGTCGAGCTTCACGAACGTCAGCTCCCTCTTCTAGACCTTTGCCATTCCAATGCCGCGAAGCCTTATCCCAAAGCATACGGTCGATCGTATCAGGGATGGCATCTTTGAGGGCACTCATATCTTGGGGACCTTGACCGATGATATGGTCTGGGGCCATAAACCTTTCGCCAAGATCGGAAATCCATGCCCAGGGCCCCACTGGATCCCAACCGATGTCTAAGAGCGTGGCTATAGTTGCAGATACCACTCCAGTGATGCCTCTCCATCTGTCCTTCTGAGCCCTGCTGTCAATTCGCCTTCGTGCCGTCCTCCATGTACGACGTGCCAACTCTAGATCGAAGCCTGGTTTGAAGATAATGGACATCCAAGATTCCACCAGCCTGTGCACGATCTGGTACTGAGGGCCCTTGCGGCCGACACGAAGTTGTAACAGAGTGGTGAGGCAACGACCTGGCCATTTCTTTGCCAGAGTCTGTCCCAGAGCTTTCCTCCAACCGTTGATGACCGACGGAGCCGCTCCAAAGACTTTGTCAGAGTAATCAGCCATCGGAAGAACTCCCATCATGGCAAGCTTTGCGCCGATCTTCTTACGAACAGCCCCTTGAGCAAACCGCTTGACGCGAGTGAAACGCTGCTGAGCACCTCTTCGCCGCTGTGCCTGCTTCGGACGCCGAAAACCAACCGCACCTCGATCGATGCCCAAGTCGGTGGCGACACTCTCGATCTTGACCTCGAAGCCCTCCTTGGCGAAGCCTCGTTTTAATTCCTTGCCTAGCCCAGCATTGTTGGTGACGATCGTCGACTTTGCCGATATCACCAAACCGGCCTCAGAGCAACCTTTTGCAAAAGTCAAGCCGGCTTGCAAAGCTAATCCAAGAACTCTTTTGTATCGGCCTTCCACTCTTTGAGAAACATCATCCACCCAAGACCTGACCGTAACACCAGGAGACCCCTGCGCCACTCTGTCCAAGATGTTGTACAAAGAACAGCGAGAGAAATCCACTGCGCCGCCAGGTCCAGCGATCATGCTCTGCTCGGGTACGATGGCATCAGAGTAATAACCACTGTCACGGAGGAAACGCACCCCCACGTGTAAAATCATCTCCAAAGCCAAGATGCACGGTGGAAATTCGTGCTCCATACCCGTCTCCAGTAAGAGCTGCCATTTAAGAGCGTCGTAAAACCCCTCAATGTCCCACAGCACGCTGGCCTGCACCCAATCTTTAATCGTGGTGAGCGCGACCGTCTCGTCCAGGTAACTGCGAGCTAAGGCCTCACGCAAGGCTGAGGAACCTGCCACTGCTGCATCCCAATGCCCAGCCTTTGCCTTAGTCCAGCTGACACGGTACTCGCCTCGACAACTCGACCAGAGCCTCGCCAAGGTCGATAATATACCAATGGCCCTGTCGTCACCGCTCGGCTTGCGAAGGAGAGTGACCAGAACCACCGTAAGCTGCCAAGGCCACGCCACTGACTGCTCGATAAGTTGAAAAAGCTGGACCAGCTCCTGCTTACCTTGCTCGGGCAGCCAGATGAGGTCCTTCTTCCCCAACTGCTCAATGCCCTTCGCCGAAGTGCCCTTCATCCTTCGGATACCGTCTTCCAGCGTCTCCAAGTCGAAGAGAGGGAAAGCATCTTCACGAGCACGAGCCCTAGCACGTCCCAAGAGTATGGAGACCTGGCCGATGTCCAGCTGCTGGTCGCTCCACTTCTTCTTCCACACCTTAGCCCGAATATCCATCGCCGTGAGAGGGTCCGACGATATCACCTGGCCTTCCTCGAACTCGTCCTTCGAAGTGGCCTTGTCCTTGATCAGTCTAAACAGCTTCCCAGGTGCCGCCACGTACTGCTCCTCCGCCCAGTGAGAGAAAGCCAGATACTGGGAATAACATTCCATCCGCTGCAAGCTGGCCGCAATCTTGCTGCTCTCGTCCTTGTAGCGCCTGATGGTGTCGTTCGTGGCGGTGCTGAGCTGCCGCAGCTTCCTGCACCAAGCTGTTTTCTCCTTGCGAGGGAGAGAGGCCAGGGTCGAAGAAGGGACCCAAGCCGTGGCCTCCCTGAGCCTGGTAATGATCTTCCCAAACCGTGGCGATTCTCGCTTGGAACTGGCCCTGTCCAGCTCCTCCATCAAGAAAGCTATCTTGGCCCACCAGTCCACTCCAGGATCCCGTGTACGCGTAAACGGAGGGGACGGCACCACTTTATGGACCCTGGTAAGCCGAGCAAGACCTCGGCCTCGATGAGCCTTGCTGTCTTTGTCCAGACCCTCACCGTCGAGCAGGTGGCTGAAGAACTCTTCCACCTTGCCAACCCACTCACCGAAGGCAATGCCCAACTTGCCAGCACTATCAGAAGTGAGCCGCCACGCGTGGGAGTCCGTGACATACGACGGCGGTTTCGACCAGCGATGATCCTGAGGTATGCTGATGGACGACCAAAGATCGGCACGCTGATCAACTGACCACTTGTCGCCTAAACCAGCTTCACCCCCAGGAGGGACCAGGCCTTCATCTTGATCCTCTGGTTCGGAAGGCAGAGGCTCGTCGTCGTCAGGCTCGCCCTCATCGCTCTCTGACTCCTCCCCAAGATCCATAGGACCCAAGAAATTGAATGGGGGAGGAGATTTGATACCAAGCCGCCGTCTCTCCCCAAGCTTGGCGATCTTCGGTCTCGCTGACGTTGGAGTAGCCACCACCACCAACTTTCTCGAGCGCTTGCTGTTTGGATCCGCCTGCTTCTTGGGCTGAGGCGGAGGGCCAAAAGCCTTGGGTAAGCTGAGAGTTCGTCCCTCAGCTGGCTTGGCATTCAGAAGTAGATCCAAGACAATACCGTAATGTGCTTTGCCACCTTCGCCCACTAAGTCAGTGTCGGCGTGAATGCGGTCCAGGTACTCCAGGGCAGGCCCTGAGGCCACAACATAGTCTAAGAGCGTGCCCTGCCCTCCAGTGCACGTGTAGTCCACGTTGTCTGCCAACAAGAGATTGCCTTGAACCAGATTGAGCCACCCGGCCTTGCGAAGGGTATCTGGAGGGAAGTTCCAGTCGCATAAGATAACCCAAGGTGTCGATAAGGAAGAAACGAGTGAGGCCAAATGCCTGAGTTTCTCCACGTTGGCGCCCGTGATGCCCAACCCATTGTAGAGGTAGCCTCCGATTATCGTGAGATGTGCACCTTTCAAGAGCACCTGCATCCCGACCAAATCCTTAAAACGAGCTCCAGTGGTAAGAGCCGCCACGTCCTTCTTGCTTTTATCTGCTCGCTTACCAGGTAGCTCGTCCTTGTTGGAGGCCAAGTGTCTGAGTGACCAAGAAGACCATTTCTTTGAGACACCCATCGCGACACCACCAGCTTTCTTCGTGAAGATAGCAGACTCAGCACCCGCTGGGCACACCATACTTTTGTAGCCAGCTTTGTCAAACTCCACCAAGACGTCATTGGTTTCGGCCATGTCCATGTGGGTCTCCTGGATGATGACCGCGTCGTAGGACCGCTTCAACAGCGCCTTAGCCGAGGTACCCCAGGTCGACATGTTGCGCATGTACACCCGAAACTGTGCACCGGCATCTTTGTCAGCCTTCGCCTCCTTCTCGGTAACCTGAGTGACCCCCATAGCTTGTATGACCCAGTCCCAGAAGATGCACATTCGATCCTGAGCCTGATCGTCCTCCATGTCGTCGTCATCGCGGTCAGGAAGGTGACGATCTGGAGGAACTCGATTCCCGAGAAGGCGTCGAAACCGTCCAGCTCACTAAGGTCGTCGAAATGCCATCGCAAGAATCTCCTGTAGTGCCTAGGGGTCCTGATGGAGTTGAGCGCGTTGAAGAATAGAGCCCTGTGCGGCTCCGCTGTGACCCAAGAGCGCGTGCATAAGTGTTCTGCGATGTCCTGCAACGACATGCGGTAGTAGTTCTCCAGGTTCTGACGGAGGCCGCGCTTAGACCGACGTGAGAGCGATGCAATAAAGTACGGAACACACCACTCCTTCCAATGCTCCAAAGAATTGTAGCGCTCGCCTCTGATGTCGTGGACCCACCTGGCCGCAGATGCAGTCATTTCATACCTAAGGTCTCGTCGCTCTCTGGCTCGATCCACTCGAGGGAATTGAGGAGGTCGTGGCAGTCGACCTCGAAGTTCAGAGCCTAAGTCAACGTAGAGCTCCCAGGTAACCTTCCAACCATTTACCTCAATCGTGCCCTCGATGAGAAGGAGACTGCCGTGCTTCGCGAACAGAGACCTTTCCTTGCCAACCGAAATCGGTGGCCAGTTTCCAACACGAGCCAGCCCAGCAATTGGCAACGACGAACCTGGGTGTCCAGGATTTTGCGATCTGACACCATGTCCAGAGAAGGACAGAAGAGGTGGCGACATTGAACCTGGCGAACCAGGATTTTGCGAACTAGCACCTCGATTTCCACCCGGCTTGGAACATGACGACGTCGTACCTGGGTGTCCAGGATTTTGCATTCTGACGCCCGCCTGGAAAGAATCTGCCTGCGCCGTCGACTGAGAGAGCAAGGTGCCGTGGTCGAAACGGTTATTTGCCTCAAAGTGCTGCAGTGGCTCAAACTGATCTGTCCAGGAATCTTGAAAATTGACGCTGTCAAAAGTACGAAATAACTTCGAACCATGCCAGTGCCAAGCAGGGGTCTCAAGTGGAGCCACCCCCTGCGAATAGAGACTGTTGAGACTGCTGTTCCCATCCATCGAATCAGGGGTCTCGAAAGGAGCCACCCCCTGCATCCCACTATCTTGGTAATTGAAAAAGCTACCACCAGAGAGCCCAAGAGGGGCTGCCATTTGAGAAGCACGATCGTCCCAGAAGAAACAGGCCTGGTCCTCCCAGATCGTGCCAAGGGCCCCGAGAGGGGCCACCCCTTGGTAAGTATGCACCCCCAGCGTGCTGTAGAACGTCTCTGGCAAGAACTTGCCAGGGGTCCCGAAAGGGGCCACCCCCTGGTATGCAGTCTCATCCGTGGGGCTGTAGACCGTGGCCTCCCAGTCCGTGCCAAGGGTCCCGAAAGGGGCCACCCCTTGGTATGCAAGCTTATCTGTGGAGCAGTAGATCGTGTCGTTACCGTCCGTGCCAAGGGTCCCAGGAGGGGCCACCCCTTGGTATGCTAGTAAGCTGCCGTCGCCCTGGCCGACGTTCGTGACAGGGGTCTCAAAAGGAGCCACCCCCTGCAATAAACTCGTGCCGCCGAAGTCCAGGCCAGGGGTCCCAAGAGGGGCCACCCCCTGGAATAGCCTCCTGGATGTCCAAGTTGCTGCCGTACTTGTAGTAGATCTGCCCAACGTGCCCTCTTCACTGGCCTCCCCCTGTGCTGCTACCTGCCCAGGACGGGGCGGGGGCCAGGGATCGGCCGAGGGTGGGCTGCTAAACTGTCGACTGCTTGCCAACTGCATCTGCCCTCTTCCTGGCCAACGCCTCGTCCATGATGGTGCGGAGCTCCGTCTGCTTGCCGTCGACCAAAGGAGAGACACTCGCCCAGGGAGATTTGCCAGCCGCAGCTGTCTGTGTCGGTGCCGTAGGTGTGGAGGGAGTGGCCCCCACCGCAGGGCCTGCGGCTGAAGCAGCCGCCGTAGCCGCAGCGCCACCTGCTTCAGCTGGTTCTCCTTCGCCAGGCTTGGCCGCCGAAGCAGGCGGGCACGAACTGGACTTGCGCTTCTTGGCCTGTTGCCAAGATCCGATCTCCTCCACCTTCTGCTGCTGCGAGGCCAAATTCTCCACCACCTTGCGGAACTGCGAGTCCAAAGCCGCACGGAACTCCGCCTCGAAGGTGCTCTTGCGCCGCTCGAACTCCTCGCGATCGCTATCCTCAAGGTCCACGTCATCGAAGAGCCCCCCGAAGCTGAGGTTGAGCTCCGCCTTTTGGTCCAAGAACTGACGGACGTCCAGCTTCCCCAACTCAGATGGAGACGAAAGCGGCTCAGGCGCCAGCTCTTTGGCCACGAGCTCCTGCGCCACAATAGCATCTGCCAAGTTGCTCGCACAATCTCGGTAGAGTCCCATGGCTTCTCCCAGCTCTTGCTCGAGACGGAGGAGGAGGAGGAGGAGGAGGAGGAGGGAGGAGGAGGAGGAGGAGGAGGAGGAGGAGGAGGAGGAGGAGGAGGAGGAGGAGGAGGAGGAGGAGGAGGATTGGGAGGGAGGAGAAGGTTGGTCAAGGAGGGGGTCAGTCAAGGAGGGGTCAAGGGGGTCAAGGAGGGGGTCAAGGGTCCTCCCGGGGTCCGCGGCGGGGCGCTTTCCCGATCCCTCCCTCCCTTCGGGGCCGCGCACCTCGGGCCGTCTCCTCCTCCCCCCCTCCAGCAATAGAGCGGGCCGCCCCTGCGCGCTGCGCCGGGGCGCCGGGCGCTGACGCCGCCCCGAGGGCGGGCGCCGGGCGCTGCCGCCCCTGGCGCCGGACGCCGCAGCCTGCCCCCGGCCCGGGCCAGGGCGCCGGGCAGTGGACAGTCCCGGCCGCAGGGCGCCGGGCGCCGACGCCAGGCGCCGCAGCTTGGCCCCTCCGCCTGCCCTCGCCGGGCCCCCCTCGGTCGGGCCAGGGCGCCTCCCGGGCGCCGCCCCGGGCCAGGGCGCCGCCCGGCGCCGAGGACCGCCGCCCTGGGCGCCGGGCGGCCGCCGCCTGCCGGAGATGACCCTGCCTCGGACTGACCTGCGGCCGGACCGGGCTAGCTGCCCGCCTCAGCCGGCCCCGGGCGCAGCGACAGCAGCGTGCAGCCACCAGCACGCTAGCTCTAGGGCAGCCAGGAGCCGCCGGCTCCCTGGAACCGGCCTCAGGACTCCTCCCCCCCCCGCCCTCCCCCCCCCTCTCCCCCTCCCTCCCTGGCCCCCGCCCCCCGCCCGGCCGCCTCTCCCCCCCCCATCTGGGGGCCGCCGCAGCCAGAAAAAGGTATGAACATTTTTTCATACCTTTTTGGCCCGGCGGGCCGCGGCACGGCCGCCGCCAGGGCATTCCTGAGGCGGCCCGGAGCACAGGGAATGGCCCCGGGCCTCCTCGGATGTGGACGCCGGGCCCTTTGTCGCCGCCGCTGCCGCCGTCGTCGCCGCCGCCGCTGGTCGTCGCGGTCGCCGTCGCCGTCGCGGTCGCCGCCGCTGTCGCCGTCGTCGTCGTCGTCGCCGGTGTCGCACGTGCTATCGTGGGGGACTGGGAGGGCGGCGACCCTGCGAACCCTCCCCCCCTCAGCTCCGCGGCATGGTCCTGCAGTCCAGCTGAGGACTGACCGGTGGTGCCGAGGCCCGGACCGGCCGGGAGCCGAACATCCGGCGAGCGCCCAGGAGGCACGCCTCCCCCTCGCCTCTCCCTCCCCCGCCCCGTGCTCTGCTCGTCCCCTCTCCCCCTTCCTCCTTCCCCTGCCTTTCCGCCCTCTCCTCTTGCCTTCCCGCCCCGTGCCCCTCCCCCCTCCTCCCGCCTCTCGGCC